GCGCTGTCCCTCAGCTCTTCAGCTCAAGGCGAGCGCTCTACCACTTGAGCTACAGCGCCACTTCCGGTTTTCTGGTGGTTTATTGGAGATAGGAGTCTCACGGTCTTTCCTGCCCGGGCTGGCTTTGAACCGCGATCCTCAGATCTCAGCCTCCTGAGTAGCTAGTATTACAGGCGTGAGCCACCAGCGCCCGGCTTGTAGTAAACTTTTTATATTCTTCCATTTTTCTTTCTCTTGTAAAGTTAAATTTTGCTTTATATATTAAAAAAATCCCTCTAATTACCTTGCCCATGTAATTGTAACCCCTCTGTAGGATATTTTCACAATTAAAAAAAAAAATCCTTCTAGCCAGGTGCCAGTGGCTCATGCCTGTAATCCTAACCACTCAGGAGGCTGAGACCTGAGGATCGAGGTTCAAAGCCAGCCCAGGCAGGAAAGTCCGTGAGACTCTTATCTCCAATGAACCACCAGAAAACCAGAAGTGGCGCTGTGGCTCAAAGTAGAGTGCTAGCCTTGAGCTGAAGAGCCGAGGGACAGCGCCCAGGCCCGGAGTTCAAGCCCCACGACCAAAAAAAAAAAAATCCCTCTTACTACATGTAATGGGTATGTCATTCAGTTAATGTTGATTATGTTTACTTCTAAGTGATAGAATTGAGGAACTTTTTTCTTTCTTTTTTTGAACTTTTTCTATATAATATGGCTTAAATTTGTTTAAAAAGAATATGTATTGTTTTAACAAAAGTATTCTTTGAGGGGCTGGAAGGTGGCTCAGTGGTAGAGCGCTTGCCTTGCATGCCTGAGGCACTGGGTTCGATTCCTCAGCACCACATAAGCAAAAAGAAAACAGCCAGAAGTGGTGCTGTGGCTCAAGTGGTAGAGCACTAGCCTTGAGCTGAAGAGCTGAGGGACAGCACCCAGGCCCAGAGTTCAGGCCCCACGACTGAACACACACACAAAAAAGGATCTAGCTTTAGTTTTCTACAAGTAGTTAACCAATTTTGCCAGCACCGTTTACTTAAGAGGCTCTTTCTTC